ACCAGAGTTGACCAAATTGACTGGTGAAAATATCTAAGCTTTAATGATAACATCAATCAACATTGCTAAAAAATCCTTCTTAACCTTTTGTTGCACATCCATTGAACTAAAACCTTTGATGAAACATTACACCTTTCATAGCAACTTATTATATGTGTTTGTGAGATTAAGTATAGTGCACATGGTTTTCACCCTTTACCCTATAATCTACCATAGGATAACCATGGAGGTGAACCTCAACCCTTCACATGCCACATGTTATATGCCACGTGTCCTAGAATAGTGGAGTGGAACTAGAGTTTTAGGGCCTTGAGCCACTCAGCAAAAGGACAGAGCTAAACTCTTAACCATAAAGCCTAGAAGGGAAGGAAGTAAAACACAAAATGATTCCTAAAGGTACAACCCAAGAAGAAAAGGGACAAAAGCATGGAGTGACTTGGAACACTCCTATAGCTTCTAGCATTCTAATGCTAGGACCAAAACACAAACAGAGTCAAACAAATCTAGATAAAGTCTAGTGCCATTTTAGTATACCAATAGCCTGATGCGAAGATATACGTACTCCATTAACTAGTATGGTATAGAGTTTGGGCTTAGACCCAAACCAAATGTAGATCAAGGACATGCACATAAAACTATATTATGCCTTAAGTTGATCAGCCATGCTCAACCTACCCACTATCCTTACTATACATTTGGAACCCCCCCCACCCCCAGGGACACATGCTTTAGGCTTTCACCCCAAGTCTCTAGGATAATCATGAAAATTGATTAAATATAGAATGGAGCTAGATTGTGAATTTAGAAATAACACCATTATATTCAAAACAATTTCTACATTTTGTAGATATACTCAATTAATAAATGTAGACACTTTCCATAAATAGTCAATAGAACTGAACAAAACCAACACATAGGGTATGATAGCGAGAATGTTTAGCAAACTATCATCTAATGATATTTAGGGACCAATCTAAATACATATAGGTTTTTATTAAGTTAGTGCAAGATAGAGCAAAAGAGAACTACCTTAATCTGGTAGTATCCTAACTTTATGTCAATTCTCGAAAAATATTTTGCATTCCCAACCTATCGAACAAAAAACCAGGCCCAATATACTCAACAAGAAATACATTTTACTTTATGTTTATCTAGCTAAATATAGATGCTAAACCCAATTTACTAACATTTGAACAAAAAGGGATCAACAATACCAACTTTATTTCATCATAACATTAAGGAAAGAATATCTAAAAGGACTTGCTAATAAGTAGCTTTCTAAATATTAATATTGTGGCCTTAAATCCGGCCAATAGAACATTATTAGAATCTTCCCATGCTTCATGTCACCTTTATTGCTGTTGTGCTGCTGCAAAGATGCTTCTTGATGTTGAAGATACTGAAGAGGGGATCACATTGAGCAGGGGAGATGCAGCAGAATGTACTCTTCAAAAGATGTTAATTTCAAGAGCTCAGCTGATTTGGTTAGCTGTTTTTTCTGGTTTTTTTTTTCCAGCCTTGGCACCCAGTGGGGGTGTGAGGATGTCGTATGCTGGGACATATGGCAACCTGTGGCTCTATGATGGTATCTTGAGAGCTTTCCTCTCCATTCTCCTACTGCATATAATCCCAAAAAGGAATCTTTTATAATTGTATGTGAATCATCACATTCCTTTGGGAGGATGAGCTTCCGAATGATACACAAGGACACTCACATATAAGGTAGTGTGGTCTAGAGAAAAACGTTTATCCAATCTCCACAAATCTTGCAGATCTGGTTTATGGATCTTTAAGAACAAGTTTCAAGGCTGGAAACGTCATGGAATCCACAAAACACTTACAGTGGGCTTTATAGTGGATGGTGTTGCACTTGGATGTCCACAGAAATCACAGTAGAACTGCATCTGGATCTCCTAGCTTCCATATAAAGCTCAAGTGGATTAATTGCACTACTAGAATTCAGAAAATAATGAACCTTGTAGTGGAAGGCTGCTATGGAAAAGCTTTCCATAAGCCATGAGCTTCCAAGAGATCATGCCACCTGGTTGCTTGTCTCTCCAAAACCTGAAGATGAAAAAACTAAGAGGGAAGGAAGCCAATCGGTTTTAGCTTCCATCTATAGACTGCATCAGAAGAAAATAAAAATTAAAAATAAAAAAATAAAAAAAACCTAACGGAAATGGAACAATTCCATATGGACGTTGTCACTGGTAATCTGGACGATTGTGTGAGCTTGAAGTTTTGGTTTTCTTAATCGCAATCTCAGATACGATCTTAAGCCAACGAAGGAGATGGTCTTCCCATCTTCCACATTTCACTACACTTAAGATGAGAGTGTGGATTCGTTAAAGGGTCACCACAGTTGTGCTTTTCAATGACAGTCCCAGGAAGTCGTCATTCTCTTCAACTAAAAGCAACAGAGGAATCTCTCTAGAGAATGTGAAATAGAATCACAAATTCTTTGATACAAACCAAGCTTACCCAGGCGTCGAGCCACAATTTCGTGAGGTGCGCGTCATCTCGCCAGAAGTATTTAAGCTCCCCCTTTTGCCTTTCGCCTCTAATTATAAAAAGCATTTATGTTATTAAGTCCATAATTGGACTTGCCAAAGCATTTAAGGATGTGATTCATCTTCCTTCTGTTTTTATATGCAATTGTTTCGTGGGCTCAGATAGTAAGATTACCTTTGGACTCAACACAGTCTGGGCTTTGGGCAACCATCCCTGTCAACGGGGTTCCAATTTCATTTCTGGTGGACACAGGTTCAAGTTTACCATTTGTTCTAGATGAACTAGATATAGATGACATCCGGGAATCCTTTATTCAAGCTCCAGAGGTTGATGGTGTAGACTGTATTTATTGTAGAAACATAAGTTTTTCAGATGGCCTCTGGGTTAAAGGTCATGTCAAGAAAAGTAAATGGTTGGTTGATGGTAAATTGAGGCGAACAAGATTTTTGCTGGCAGATGAATGGATGACTAAAAGACCAGATGGATCTCGTGGAAACACAGTCAAAGCGTTGTTAGGCTTGAGCAGACGAATGGACTCGGTGGTTACTCAATGGAAATACACATCATTCAGTTTTTTGTACACTGGTGTTTTTAATGAACTAGTCTTTGGGGTTTCTGGACATCCTTACTGTGCTAGTGTGGTTGGACTGGTTAAAAATCAAAACATCCTTACAACACGGGTGTATAGGATAAGTTATGATTGGAAGTATGAAGAGTATGCATTTGACATTCCGTGGGACACCGGGAGTGAAGATACTTGGTTTGAACCAAAATTTTTTAGAATAATTGTTGACATGATTAAAAGTAAGGTAAATGATATGTATTACAATCGAACACTTGGCACTGGTTGTTCACGTACGGGAAAGGCTTATATGGTAGACTTGCCACCTATAGAGTTTGACCTTGGCAATCAAGTAGCTTTAAGTATTCCTACATGTCAAAGTTTGTTGAGGGGGCTGGGCTTTGTTTAAACATTAAAGCTTCTAAGCCAGGTGAGAATATTATAGGTTTGCCATTTCTAAAAAACCTAAGGGTTACATGTGATTTTGCATCTCAAACTATGTCATACAAACCATAACAAAAAATTCATTTTCTTACTTTACTAGCTATTTATGAAGATTTGATGGCTTAAACTGTGCCATTGTGGCCAACTCACAAGTGAAGGGACGAAACCAGCCTTGAAAATCTGTCCTACCTGGACTGGTGGAAATGATCATCTTGATCTCTACCAAGCTGCTCTACCCCGCGGTATTCACGGAAGATACTCATACGACTCATTTCATTTTGTATAATTTGTTACTTTTTTAACCAATTTCCACGTCTTGACACGCTTCTAAGGATCCTGTGGTTTTCTTATATTCTGAAATGCGTTCAGCCTCGACAATGACCAAGCCAAGGTCGGATCTAACACGGGAGCTTATTCTGAAGTACAATAAGAACTGCATGAGGTATGCAATTTCAGCGGCCTGAGGAAAAAGATTACTGGGAACGAAGAGTCATGCTTTGAAAAGTAGAATAATACCTTCAAGTGAAAAGTTGAAAGCACACTGCCTCAGGACAAATAATTTCAATACAGCCTTCAGTTTCATCGTATTAGAGTTGTCAAGTGTTATGATTACTCTCACCTTCAAACCACAATGACAATGAACGGAAAGAGTTCAGGTTATTTGATTCCTCAAAATCCTGGAGGTCAGTGCTAGGAGTTACAGTGATTGCCTACTGACTTTAGCATTATCCACAGGTAAGAAAACCGCTGTTGCAAAAGTAGCACAAAACACGACTTGGAAAGCTCGATGATTAGCTACACAAACAAGTAACACTATGTTCATCAGTGCACATACGAAGGTTTGACAGGCACAGTGACAACAACTTGGATAGCAGACACTGCCATATCTTGTCGTAAGAAAATTACATGAATCACTACATCAGTACTGGTATTCACTGACTTTTATCATCATTGGGGGAAGTGCCAAATTGTTAAAGTCTGAAAAAAACAATAATTAACTTGACAAGAGAAGCTGTAGAATTTTATTGAAATTGCACTGGAAGAATAAGTACAACAGCTAACAGTGAGATTATTACTGTGTATGCAAACTAGAGACAGATAATACCTCTACTTATTGTCACAATTTACAATTTCTTTTTTCTTGGATCATCTAAAAGTTTATGCCATCAATGACACTTTTGATGCCATGCAATGCTACAAGGATTTCCCTTTTAAAGGGTTTTCATCAGCAGTCCGGTAGACACATCACCACACATGACTGAATATATGTTTAATATTTGGAATATGTGATGATAAATATATTGCATATTTTACGACCCACCATCGTTCTCAAATTTGCTGCAAGCATAATGAAAATAATCAGCTCCAGACGTTCTTCCTGAAACAACCAACCTCCAGAGGCAAACAGTGCTGCTAAGGAAACCGTAGTACAGTCGGACAGAAGGGCTGCACATATATGTCGTATCTATAGAGCTTTAAGAGATGATGTGTGACAAAGAGATCACAATCCAGAGTATATAATGTTAAGCTTACACAGAGTATGGACTACGTGCAAATCGCTGCTCTCACTCGTAGTCAGAAAATAAAAGAAGGCATAGAGAGTTCTTACCTCAGAACGTGTCCTCTTTAAGCTGTCCAGAAGCCCGTCGTTTACTAAACCATCGAGTCCAATATCACATGCACAAAGCCATGTCCGTGAAGAATTTAGAGTCTGTCAAAGCAGTGACTATACCTTCCCAGGGTGACTCCATAGCCGAGCATGCGGCAATGACCACCAGCATCGTCACCTCGGTTGGCTGGACTCCTTCCAGGATCATTCGGCGGTAGAGCCTTCGACGTAAGCCGAGATCAAAATCGTCCACCCTTGTCCCTCATCCCCTTGAACAACTCTTCGCACATGTTGACGAGTGCATTGAGAACCACCGGCGATTTAGAGCAGTCCCTCGAGGCAGTGATCTCTACGTGAAGCTCCTGGCCTTTCTCCAAATCCTCCGGATCCAAGCTTCGCTGCTTCAACGCCGTCGCCGGATCCGTCTTTCCTCGCCAAGAGCCGCATGAACTCCAAATCGTAGTGGTGGCGACGATCAAAGCCGTCCAAGAGACCACGTCACGAGCTCTCACTTTGGAGAAAACTCGCCTGGCCATGTCAAGTTCGTTGATGAGACCTTGAAGTTGGAGTCGAAGCCGTGAGCAACGTGAAGCTCGACCAGCAATCGCAAGCTTGCAGAGATCCATCACCACCGTAACTTGGACTTTCTGCGCCCCCAAACTTCAAGACCCCTGGCCAGAGATCTTCTTCCCTCGAGGAACAAGCATCCGTGTCGAAATCTTCCATCTCCTCGTAGAGCTGTCGAGCTTGCCTGCCGAAGTCCATCTGAGTTTCTAAACCCTGCGCGCGAAACAATCTGGGGCATGGCGCTGGAAGATCGTGGAGCTGGAGGGCGGACGATGGATCCAGGTGCGGGTGCGATCCAATCGATCATGGCGACAGTCAATAATATCGCCTATCATAGCTCGAATCGAATAGCAACGATATAGGATATTCACGGTATTGTTTCTCCTTCAACCCAACCTTTAGCGACCCGCTGCATTCATCTCTCACAAGACAAGGCCTTCGCCTTTCTCTCTAATCACGTAGATCAGAATCCCAAAGAGTACCACCGTGCCCAAACCAAAGGACAGGGGGAGCCACAAGAAAGGAGCTGGGAGAGGCACGCCTGCCGCTGGAGGAGGAGGCGGCTTTGCACCTGGAGGAGCTGGAGGAGCTGGAGAAGGAGGCGGCTTTGCACCTGGAGAAGCTGGAGGAGACACGCCTGGAGCTACTGCCGGCAAGTCTTCCGGCTCGTCATTGTCATCGGGATCATCTGCCAACTCTGGTCCTGGTTGTTGAACCGGGGAGCTTTTATACCAAGTGTTTCCCGGGCTAGGCCACGGGTATTCTTCATCTGGAGCTGGAGAGTCTGCCGGAGATGGAGCTTGAGAGTCTGCTGGAGATGGAGCTTGTGGTGGAGATGGAGGTAGGGCATCACCACCGCTGCCAAGCCCACCAAATCCACCACCCCCAACACCCGGGAGAGTGATCCCTGGTTGTGGAGCTGAAGCTGGAATGGTTGGAGGTCTTGGAGCTGGAGCTGGAGTTTGCTGCCCTGGAGCTTCCTCCTGTCCTGGAGCTGGAGCTGGAGCTTGCTGTGGAGCTGGAATGGTTGGAGGTCTTGAACCTGGAACTTCTGGAGCTAAAGCTTGCTGCCCTGGAGCTGGAGCTTGCTGCCCTACAACTAAAGCTGGAATGGTTGGAGGTCTTGGAGCTGGAGCTGGAGCTTGCTGCCCTGGAGCTTCCTCCTGTCCTGGAGCTAGAGCCGGAGCTTTCTGTGGCGCTGGAATGGTTGGAGGTCTTGAACCTGGAACTTCTGGAGCTAAAGCTTGCTGCCCTGGAGCTGGAGCTGGAGCTGGAGCTTGCTGCCCTGGAGCTTCCTCCTGTCCTGGAGCTGGAACCCCCTCCTTTGGACCTTGAGTTGGAGCTGGATGCAAGGGAGGCGCAACACCACAGAAACTGCGAGTTCCTGACCTGGAATTGCAACGCACCAAGGATCCAAATGACCAAACTGTGCTCCCAGGAAAGGGGAAATCAATGTAGGCTTACCCGAGCTCCGCCAAACAATCTGCCGTAGCTGGCTCAGCGGCATCCTGGATGGAGAAATTCGCACTCCCGACATCCAATCGCGTGAGGAGATCAGCGCCCTGCCATAGAGAAATCTGGCCATTTCCGACCTTGCTGTTGCGCTCCAGAGACAAGACGACGATGAGGAATGCCAGCATCCGAAACACGATCGTTGCCATGACCTAGGGCATGAAACTCGAAAGCGGGAAGAACCTAGGGCATGAAACTCGAAAATGGGCGGGAAATAACAAGACACGCGTTCTACAAAGGCTTGCATTGTTGCCAAGCCATATTGTTGAGGAAGAAATGAAGATAGCTTTCACTTGATACATCTTCCACACGTCAGACAACAAGCAGTACGCTCATCCTGCGATCGAGCATCAAAGAAAGATCTCATCAGAGACGAACGAGGAGAAACATGTACCTGCAACTCACGAATCAAAAGAAGAAAAGCCCAGGATGGAGTAAGGCTTGATTATCCCCAGTGTGCCGTCACCTCACTGGTCAACCTGGAAAAGGAAATACGTACTAAGGATTTTAAAGCATAAACACAAAGAGAGCTTACCTTTCCCTGATAGTGTGTACATGGCCCCTTGTTCTATTTCGCCTTGCACACTGGGGAATCAAGATTGCACGCACCATCTCATTGAATTCCATACTCAATCTGGAAAAACTATAACAGAAGAGAAAATGCGTTGCCAGGATTCCAAAGCTTAAACATCACAGCTTACCTTCCTCTCAGGCCCTCGTCTGGTAGTGTATACATGGCTCACTTTTCAATATTCGAGTTGATGTCATACACGAGTCATGATTCAATCCTTGTGATCCTACAGAAAGATCAACATACGTGAACATTTTCTAGACAAAAACGTTAAAACGAACCTGCTTGTGCACGGGCCTGGGAGTCTGGTTCACTCCACTTCTTGGAACTTCAAGAACGAGTTCCAAGCTTAAAAATGTCATGGAATCCACAAACACTACTTACAGGTCCACTGCGTGGGCTTCATCTTCACTTGGAGTGGGCTCCAGCGGACTGATTGCTTATCAGTTGGAAAAAGAAAGTATTCAATCTTGTGTGTCTTGGTCTTTTCCTTTCTTCTTCTGAGAAGAAAAAAAAAACATAGAGGCTTGTCAAAGATGAGGCATTCAATCTTGGGATAACAATTATCGTGATTCGCTGCTCCCTGAGAAGTTTCTGCGTGGAGCGATCTAAGATATCGACTATCCGGACGAGAAAGCCACGGCAGGAGTAAACACACTGTAGAAATCAGGGAATCGCTCTAACTGGTTTACACAAACTCGCAAACAAGCCAATACCACTGCTGTCCAAACAAAGTGCCTGATAGTGTCTGGCGGGATCAATACTATTTTACAGCGGAGCGAGTTGTAAGGTCACGGAATACTAAACAGTCGCACTGCGTAGGCCATCTTCCGAGGAAATCCGCATTTGGATGCGGACTGATTGCCAAGAAAACCTTAGAAGTGTGTTTCATGATCTTAATCTCCACTCCTAATGGAATATCTAATGGAACACGTGTTAATGCACCTTAGACGAATGAAAAATCTCCATCGCCAAGCCACCGCCAGCGGGCACAACCATCTTTCCTGATGCAAGTGAAGAAAACTATGCACAAAGTTAACCAAAGTAACTTAGGATTTATATTGAAATTGAAAGCAGATTATTTCAGCTGGTCTGGAACCGGGGTGGTGTTTCCAGTCAGAACAAAAACAGTGTTCGAAAATCTGTCACGCCTGTGCTTCCGTGGGAAAACATATGAAGTTTTAGTTTCCATGTCCACGACAAAAGGGCGAAGCTTTGGGCGGGCTTCTTTGGACCAGAAGCAATACAGGCTTCCCAGGTAGCGTTGATTATATTCCTCGCGCTTAGGTATGCCAACTTTTGCCACCAAGTTCCACTCACTCTTGTCCACTTGAAACTTCTTATGAATGAGTTTTCGAATTGATCGATCCCTCTCTTCCCAGACCCTGAACTCGTTGTTAGTAATCACCTGAAGCGTTTTTCTCCCCTTATAGTCGGAAACCCTGATATAACTTCTCGGCTCTTTTCTCTTTGTATGATATGGTGGATACCCGCAATATTCTACAGCTAGACCAAGATATAGATCAATTCTCCATTCACTCAAGGATGAATCATATAGAACAGAAATCTCGTTCAACCAGTCGCTATTGATAACATATATGGAGTACCTCTGGCAATCAACACCAAATAGTACTTTATTATGAGACCACAAGATCTCTTCATCCACCTTATCTGTCTTGAGAAATATCTTGTCAATGGGAGGTATTTCTTTCCATTCCATGAGCACAGGATTGCCAACATAGCTCTTCGATCCACAGCGCAAAAGCACCAGCCCATGCTCAATAGCCAAAACTCTATAAGGATTCTCAAAGCCTGGAAATGGCTCATCTAAAAGGAAACCTGAGAGAGGACACCACGCCTTCAACACATCATTGACATATGTGATGATCCAAACCCCTGGATCCATTACACCCCTGGAATTGAAGTCTGGGGATTGGATTATGTCTCTCCATGACTTACACACACTGTTTACTATGCTCCAATCGTCCAGACGCGAGAAGATCTCCCACCATATACTAGATGGTATCAAATCCATATAAGCCACATCTGAACAATAGAAGTTTTATTTAGTCCACATGTAGAATATGCTTGGATTTTGGCATATTTTTTCAAGTGTATTTTAGCATATTTTACCATTTTACAGTTAATACATATTTAAATTTAAATCATGTACACTTGCGAGGCCTGGCTACCCGCACACCAGCAGGAGAGAATATTGTGTCTCGAGATGGCGGGCAGAGCACTTTGGTAAAATCTAACCCGTTGGTTAGGTTATTGACTTTGAACACCCATCACGTGATAGCCTTGTGGGGAATTGCATGGCACAGACTAAGCTATCCAAACCCCACAGATCCCTCAGGTTGGATGGTGGAACTGGTTGTGCACAAGCTCACCAGCCACAGTGAAACAATGAGCTTTCTAGGCCTGACTAAGATGTTACCGGCAGCTGGAAAATAGGCATGTGATGGACAATTAATAGACTTATCCGCCCTAGGCTGTGGCTGTGGCGAGTATTTGCAAAGGTGTTTGCCTGTTTCATTGACAGAGAGCTGTCCAATTGGCTGGAGACGACTGGGTTGCATGTGAATGGGCAAGCGGGCTTTACTCCTGTATTGACCAATTGATAATTCTCTGTTTGAGAGGCTACACTTCAAGTGAAACCGAGTGCTTTTCCTGGGATATGTCGATTTAGCTAAAGCCTTGGATCATGTTCCGTAGCATCTGTTGATCAGCAACTCCAGGTCCCCGCACCCTGGTTGCTAAGCTATATAAAACTGTCCCAAAACAAGCTCTCCATGCGTGCAGTCTTATGTATGAAAGACAGGGGCTAGTGGTCTGATGTTAAGGATTGGATGATGCGCTTTGGGCTGGATCTTGAGGAGATCATTCAAGGTCCCATGGACAACTACACCTAGTGATTTGCCCAAGCTTTGTGTAAATGGTTGGACAATAGAATGCACATGGTGTGAATCCAATGGGACAGGATATCACCATGTTCCTCCCTAGGTGTGATATATGCTAGCCGCATACAGGGGCAGGAATCAGGGTGGAAACTAGTCGTCATGTGAATACCTCTGGCCGAGAGGGATCTCTCTAGTCTGCTGCTTCACACCACTTGGCTATCTACCTGCGTAGAATTGAGGAGCTTCAGACGGCTCAAGCACAAGAGACTGTAGGGATGGTTTATGTTTCGGTTTTCTAATTCATCAGCTTTAACCTCCTTAGGGCGCTCATCGGTTGGGATCTGGAGCTGGATCAATGGCACTCTTGATTGTTACTGAATGGTAAGGCTGTTCAATTTTTTAAAGTCGTCCTCTACCCTGCTATGGCCAATCCCATGGGTGAGGCGGTGCCCCACCACCATGTCTTGTGGATCCTCCTCCCATGTATTCTTTGTTTGTCTATGGTAGCTGGCGAGCTTTGTTCTTGAGGTGAGCTAAGAGGTCAAGAGTTAATCCAAGAAAGTTTAAACTATAGATTGATATAGATTTGTTTTTTTTATTTTGTGAGTGTAAGAAGATTATTTTATTTTTGGCAGTATAAACTAACCGGTTTTAATTATTCACAAAGATATACTCTCATTGAGTGTGGTTCTGAAAGATAATTGAACAAGGTGAGTGTGATTTTAGCTGAATTATACTGTCACCAACTCATTAAAAACATAGCTAATATAGTTTAAGCAAAAAAAGTGTTTTAAAAATAAAATAAATTTATCCCTAAAGTATATTATACTTCTAATATTACCTTAAGTAAAATGCACTAGGTTTCTAAAAAAAGTGAACTCCAAGTTTATTACAAAGAGTTGTTCTTTTACACTTCTCTTGACAGATTTCTTATACTTCTTGTCACTCCAGGTTGATGTCCCACAAATTAGCAACATAGAGATCAACTTGGTTCAAGACTTGGGTTGCCCATATTGCAGGCAATATTGGCTACTACATCAGCTGGCCTGGGACTAGGGTGGTGTTTCCAATTAGAATAAAAACAGTAATGAAAAGATGTGTCCCTTGGTGTCTTTTGGGGATTATTTGAATCAATCAATTAGGAGAGAGAGAGAGAGAGAGAGATCATGTTTTGATAGTCTTGAGGTGCTTAACTAGAAGCATGAGACCGATGGATGCAAAAATGCAAGTTGGATTATTGCTTTTGTGTCAGTGGCCTTGTTGTTGTGCTGCTCACTAGCTGGAACTGGTGTCGCTTTGTGAACGAGATCTCAAGGAAAGAAGGGACTTCAAGGTCTTAGTGTTTTTCCTTGCAGAATTTGATCACTACTGGCATAATCCAAAAAACGAATCTTTATAATTGTGTTCGAATCATCACATTGTAGAGAAGTTAGTGTTGTAGGAAAACGTTTAAAGCCTGGGATTTAGAATTCAGAAAATAATGAACCTTGTAGTGGAAGGCTGCTATGGAAAAGATGAGCCTCCATCCATGGATTTAGTTTGGGAGACATGGGATTGGGGTAGTGAAGAGCCATGGTTGGAGTCTCCCACAGAAAACGCACCAAGGTCTCAAGTGCAAACACCATCTCCATGGCCAGCTCCACTTTCGACACAGTGTCCAGCACCATCTCTGGCACCTGCTCCAGCACTGCATTCGACACCAGCTCTGGCACTAGTTGTGGCACTGCGTCGAACATTAGCTCTCACACCAGCTCCGGGACAACCAGTGTTAGAGGTCTTTCCCGTCCCACTCTTGCCGAATGTGAACAATCGAAATTTAAATAGTAGGAATCCAGAAATGGGAAGTGCAACGAACTTGACGGGATTCTCTCGAAAGTGAGAGCTCACGACGTTGTCTCCTGGGTCGTGGCCTACACTCAGCACAGGAGGAACCGAGAAGCTCTCGAGCAGCCGGACAAGGTGACTCTTAGCAGCGTTCTGACTCATCAACAAGCTTCCGACTTTCCCAAACTTGCCGTACATGGTCGCAGAGGCCACGGACACATTGGCTTCCAGGTGAGAGCCTCGAATGCGCCTCTTTCCCAACTCTCGAAAAGCTCCAGCGCTCGGCCCTCGCAACGTCCAGCCTGCGCGTACATGCTCACAAGCGCGTTCTCCGGCCTTCTTCCAGATCCCTCAAGCTGGAGCAAGCGCCAAGGACGCTGAGAGTAGCGATGTCGGGCTTGATCCCCGCCGAGTCCATGCTCCTAAACATCTCGATCGCCTTGCAGCCATGCCTGTTCTTGGCGAATGCCGCGATGATGAAGTTCCAGGAGAAGAGGCTTCTTCGCGGGAGGGCGTGGAAGACCTGGATGGCGTCGTCGACGCTGCCGCATTTGCCATACATCTGGAGGAGGTGATCGCCGAGGAGGCGACAATGTGGGCGTGGATTCGCCGCCCCTGCGGTAGGTCTGCCGCATTAGGAGCGCGGCGTAGGTCTGGCGCACCTGGAAGGGCGACTGGAATTGCAAGTGGTCGTCGAGGCGCAAAGGTTTATAGTGGATATGCTAGGAATATGCTAGTGAAAGTCTTTTATACGTCTTTGATTTGATTTTTTGTATCTTTTGGTACGCTGTAAGAATTCATTGGGATGATCAATCACACAGGAACCAGCCAGCCGCATCCTTCTCCCACTCTCCAATGCATCTAGAATGAAAATCACCAAAGCTTTTGGCTATGACTCATCTTGATTTACATTCTCTGTGGGCATTCCTTGACTAATTTTGTTTAGTCATATTAATGCAATTGAGGAATCACAACCATTACATTAAGGAATATCGTACTTGGATATTCTAAGTATATAACTTCAAATGCTGAAACTATTGGAACGTACACGGAAGGGCATTTGAATGTTGAATATTGAATGTTGAAATGTTGAATGTTTTCACGGGCTTTTACGTGTTTTCCATGCTTCCATCGCAAGGATAGTTCAATCCCGAACCTCTATAACACTGGCAAACGTAAACCTTACATGCATATCGTATGGGGCCCGTCATCTTTACAGGTTCGGCCCGAAGCTAAAACTTTCAGTATATAAGCTCACTCGTGCAAGTGCAAAGCAATCATCCATGGCGAGCAACATGATAGCTTTGATCTTGATCTTGCTGGTGGTGGTATGGGCAGCACCGTTTGCGATTGCGCGGCCAGCGGCTCTGGAAGGCGATCGCGCTCTAGAGATCAAGAACATGTTCGAGGATTGGGCTGCCAAGCACGGCAAGAGTTACAGCAGCGACTCGGAGAAGGCTCGCAGGCTGATGATCTTCTCCGACACTTTGGCGTACATCGAGAAGCACAACGCGCAGCCCAACACCACCTTCACGCTCGGCCTCAACAAGTTCTCGGATCTCACAAATGCCGAGTTCCGAGCCAATTACGTTGGCAAATTCAAGTCCCCGCGCTACCAGGATCGCCGCCCGGCCAAGGACGTGGACGTGGACGTGTCGAGCCTCCCGACGAGCTTGGATTGGAGGCAGGAGGGAGCTGTGACACCGATTAAAGATCAGGGCCAGTGCGGTATGATAAGAACTCGTCGTTTTTTTTTTTTTTTTTCTAATCTCTCTTCTATTTGGCCTTTGTGGGTGTGGGTGATTCGCGTGATCCACAGGGAGCTGCTGGGCTTTCTCGGCGATTGCATCGATCGAGAGTGCACACTTTCTGGCGACGAAGGAGCTCGTTTCTCTGTCCGAGCAGCAATTGATAGACTGTGACACGGTAGACCAAGGATGCCAGGGTGGGTTTCCGGAGGATGCGTTTAAGTTCGTGGTGGAAAACGGTGGTGTCACCACGGAGGAGGCCTATCCATATACAGGATTTGCAGGCAGTTGCAACGCGAACAAGGTTGGTATACTTCACTAATTATTTCATATTATAGCTGTTTTTTGTTCTTTAAAGAATAAGGTGGTGGAGATCACTGGTTATAAAGACGTCACAAAGGACAGTGCTGACGCCCTGATGAAAGCAGTCTCCAAAACTCCCGTGACCGTTGGCATCTGCGGCAGCGACCAAAACTTCCAGAATTACAGAAGTGTAAGAAAATCTCAAATATTATTTCTATTTATTTCTAACTTAATTACATCGTTTTCCAGGGAATTCTTTCTGGTCAGTGCAGCAATTCGCGGGATCATGCGGTCTTGGTCATTGGATATGGAACCGAAGGTGGGATGCCCTACTGGATCATCAAAAACTCGTGGGGAACTTCCTGGGGGGAGAATGGATTCATGAAAATCAAGAAAAAGGATGGAGAAGGGATGTGTGGGATGAACGGACAGTCATCATACCCCACTACTTAGTAAAATAACCACTTTATAATCCAAACTTTATATTAATATATCAATTATACCCTGCCATCATGATACATTAGCAACTAGTGAAATTTGCTCTTTTGACTATGATTGGTAAATTGTGATGCAGTAGATCCAGAGTTAGATATAGCCACAGCATCACGATCTAGGGAGAGCTGCAGGCTTGCAGCAGCTATGGAGCCATAGCAGCAAACAGTCATGACTGAGAGTTAAGTACCATGTGATCCAGAGTTAAGTGAGGATATTCTTGGGAGTAGTGTTTACAATATTTATTAACTAAAGTCAATTCCACTTACCTGTTTATGCTGAACACATGGCACAATATTACATGCAATACAAGTCTATAGGGAAAAAGTATTCCATTATACCCATTCCTACTTTGTTAGACATGAAAGTAGAAGAAAACTGAATAAATAATAATTATGCTGTTTAATAATTGTTTTTTTCTTTGTAAACTAAAGTTAGTGTTGAACGAATAAATTTAAACACCTAAATTTTAAGTTAAAAATTCTTGGTTTGGGAATGCCATTAAACTTTTGTTAGTTTTATATTAACTTCTTATGACTTTTGTTGATTTTCATTGACTTGAGCTCAGCTCGTAAGCTCAGCTCAAAAACTACCTATCCCCATATTCTTGCATATAAATGCAAAACAACAAAAAGCAGTGGATTGGAATGTTATATATGACATATGGTAGAAGACGAAAACAAAAATATCTAGAGATCGACAAACTAAATAACATGATGTGAAAAAAAAAAGTTATATTCCCTCTATATGCAGGAGGAATGTCTCATACCCTATAATATTTTGGTCTGGCAATTGGAGCTCCCTGCATGAAGCATGTCATCGGAACACAGCCGTGCTTGTCATAGCTCCAAACCAAGCTCTCCATGCATGCTATCAACGTCTTATTTACGAAGCTAGATATCAAGGAGATAATTCAAGGTCCCATGGACAACTGCACCTGGTGGATGGAACAAGCATGGGGCGAGAGAATGCTCATGGCTGTCAAGTATGAAATCTATTGCTTGACAGTGAATTCAATGGGACGGGTCTATCACCAAGGCTCGGCCCACTGGTTTGCAGTGAAAGGACTAGAACACCTTGGCACCTTGAGACTGCCTCCTTTGTACTCCCGCCAGGCAGAGGACGCCTTTCATGTCCTATACGACTGCACAGCCTTCTAGCCTTTGTGGGATCAATTCCCTGGGATTCCTTGGGCCGAGAAGGATCTCTCTAGCCTTATCTACCTGTGCAGATCGGAGGAGCACAAAAGAGTGTAAGGAGTGTAGAAGGTAGGTATAGTGGTCTTATGTCTCCCTTGTATTACTATTCGGTCTTATAATGTCTATCATCATTTTATCATTCTAAGTACATCGTTTATGGCAGGCTCTCTTAAGCTTAAAAAAGAATACCTCACTGTAAAATTTCTGGATTTTAAAAATAATTTTAAGATTTTTGGTTAAACCTGTAGGATGGTAGTGAATATACCTAGAATACGCTTGGATATTCTAGGATATTCTACCATCTAACGGTTGTTATTTATTTAGATTAATCTTGTATTTATAATTTATAAACATGTTTATAATTTATAAACTTTCTTAAACACTTTCTAGTATATTATTTTTTATTCTACCATCTAATGGTTGATATGGAATAAGATTAATCTTGTGTTTATAAATTATGAACATGTTTATATCAATTAAATTAATACATGCAATGCATAGCAAATTATTTAAATATATCTAATATATAATTAGTTGCTATGCTTTGCATGTAGAAATGCTTGGTTTTCTTAATAGTAGTGTTATTTTTAATTTTTAATTCAATTGATCAAATAAAGTTTATAATTATAAGCATGTTTGTAATTTTTAAATACAAGATCAATCTTATTGCACCATTAGATGATAGAATAAAAAAGAATATATTAGAAAGGGTTTAAGAAAGTTTATAAATTATAAACATGTTATAAATACAAGATTAATCTAAATGAATAACAACCATTAAATGGTAAAATATCCTAGAATATTCAAATGTATTCTAGGTATATCCAAGCATTGAATATTAGTAATTTTTCTATTTTTGCTTCCTAGAACAAATTTAGAAAGTGGACGAGGCATTCCAAATAACAATGGTTATTTCAGTTGGTCTGGAACCGGGGTGGTTTTTCCAATCAGAATATAAACAGTGCTCGAAAATCGGTCACGCCTGTACTTGCGTGGGAAAACATATGCGGTTTTAGTTTCCAGGTCCACGACAAAAGGACGAAGTTTTGGGCGGGCTTCTTTGGACCAGAAGATATACAGGGTTTCTAGGTAGTGACAATTATATTTTTCGCGCTTAGGTATGCCAATTTTTGCCACCAAGTTCCACCGACTCTTATCCACCTCAAACGTCTTATGAATGTCGCTCATGCATTTTCGAATTGATGGATCCCTCTCTTCCCAGACACTGAACTCGTTGTTAGTAATCACCTCAAGCGTTTTTTGCCCCTTATACTCGAAATGACTGATGTAACTTCTCGGCTCCTTTATCGCTAAAGAATACTGTGGTTTAGCTCTAGCTTCTAGAGCCGGACCAAGAGATGGATCGATTCTCCAAGCACTCACGGATGAGTCATATATAACAGAAATTTCGTTCAACCAGTCGCTATTGATAACATATATGGAGTACCTCTGGCGATCAACGCTAAATAGTACTTTGTGAGACCATAGGATCTCTTCATCCACCTTATCGGTCTTGAGAAATATCTTGTCAATGGGAGACACTTCTTTCCATTCCATGAGCACGGGATTGCCAACATAGCTCTTTGATCCACAGCGCAAAAGCACCAGCCCATGCTCAATAGCCAAAACTCTATAAGGACACTCAAAGCTTGGGAAAGGCTCATCCAAAAAAAAGCCTGAGAGTGGACACCACGCCCTCAACACATCATTGACATAAGTGAGAATCCAAACCCCTTGATCCATCACACCCCTGGCTTTGAAGTCTGGGGATTGGATTATGTCCCTCCATGACTTACACACACTGCTTGCACGGACTATGCTCCAATTGTCCAGACGCGAAAAGATCTCCCACCATGGTATCAGATCCATATGAGCCTGACCTAAACCACATATTCTAATCATGTTAAACGTTATAGACACATATAACATAAACATATGAACATATTCACTCTTCTAAGCAAGAAATTATGTTGGCATAACTTGGAACCCCTGGGGCATATCAGATAGCAAGATGTCGCTCTGTGCATGGTACGTGGACATCAATCCTGAGAAACGGGAACACACAAAACGGTCAAGCTGCTTACCGTAGCCAGCTGTCATCCACGTAGACGTCTTCAGAAGTTTAGTCAATCTGAAAAGTCAGCATTATGTTAGCATTTACTAGAGAAAAACATAAAAAACGGAGCTGCAATTCCTACAAATCGTGCACCAACCTGGGATATGCTTCAGCCCACCTCCGGGATCTTCAAGAACGAGTTTCAAGGTTAAAACCGTCATGTATTCTTACAGCTCCACGTAGTGTCCCAAAACCATAACTTGGACGTGCGGGAAAATGAGTCTGGATCTCCATCGGATTAATGGTCTACATAAACCTATTCTAGAATTCAGTTGGAAGAAGAGAAAATAACGAACCTTGTGTGGAAGGCCGCTATGGAAAAACTTTCCATAAGCCGTGAGCTTCCAAGAGATCATGCCGGTTGCTATGCCCTATGTCCCTCGATGCCTCATGAAATCAGTGACAAGAGCTACATGTCCCTCAGTTGTTCCTCGTCCGCTTAGCTCGTCACCATAGATAAAGGATCAAATTCATGCGAAGAAAACAACAAAGAACACAGGCACCTCATCAGAAAAAAAAAAGAAAACTTCCAATAGAAATGGAAGAACTCTAGCCAGTTGGAACAGAAAAAAGAGATTCTCAAAGATCAGATCCGAGAATGCGAACAAGAAAACCAAATTTTCCAGCTTACCCAGTCATCCGGATTCGCCTTCTTACCGAGGAGAGGGGTCCCATGCCCCATTGGGCGCCACAAAGCTCGCTCTTTCTCTCTCTCTCAAAAAGAAAAGAAAAAAGAACCATTTTCAAAGGGTTCTCAAACGTAGAAGTAAAAATCAGCTTGTGTTTTTACAAGCGCTACACAGATCACTAAAAGAAAATTGCGAAGATCGCTCTAGAGAATGCGAGATAAAACCTAGATCCAGAAAAAGCTTACCCAGTTGTTCAGATTTGCAGTCGCATATGCTTGCGCTGCTGATCCTCAAAGCAGCACGAGAGGCAAAAGAAACTTATGGATTGAAAGGTTTTCCTGGAATATTTGCAAGAAAGCTATATCAGCTGGACTTGGTACTGTGAAATCCATAGCCAAAGTTCTGCGTTATAGACATAACCCTGTAGCTCACTTCACTCTTCTAGGCGACACTCTTCTAGGCGCGAGATGATGTTGGCCATAACTTGGAAGCCCTGGCGCATATCAGACAGCAAGCAGTACTCGTTACGAGCATGGTATGTGGACATCAATCCTGAGAAACGGGGCATATCCATATCAAAACTGAAAGCTTCACACGAAACGCTCAAGCTGCTTACCATAGCCTGCGGTCTGGACATCAAAGCCCTCATCCTGTGATCGAGCATCAGTCGTGCATGACGAATACAAAGAAAGAGATCGTCAGAGAACGAAACAACGAAAAGGAAAAACACATACCTGCAATTCACGAATCAAAGGAAGAGAGCCCGTGATGGAGTAAGGCTTGACAACCCCCACGACTTCTTCAGTGGCCTTGGACAGCGCATGGAAGCCCGGGGAATCAAGATTGCACGCCACGCCAGACATCATCATCTCATCGAATTCCATAGTCAATCTGGAAATACGATAAAAAACGAGAAAATGCGTTGTCAAGATTCCAAAACTTACACAAAAGAGCTTACCTTCCTCTCAGGCCCTCCTCTGGTAGTGTATACTTAGAAACCGGGCCCCTAACTCCAAGCTTTTCAATATTCGCGTTGATGTCATCCACGTAGCTCTTGAGTTTTTTTACTACGTCTTGGACACTAGTCACACCAGAAGTTTAGTCAACTGATCCGATCGTCAAACTTAAGAGGCTCACTTGTAAAATGGTGTGATCCTACGATAGATCAGCATTATGTGAGCATTTACTAGAGAAAACATAAAAAAAAACGGACCTGCAGTCTCCACAAATCGTGCACTGGCCAGGGATCTGATTCACTCCACCTCCGGGATCTTCAAAAACGAGTTTCAAGGTAAAAAATGTCATGTATTCCACAGAATACTTACAGCTCCACTGCGTGGGCTTCATCGTGGATGGTGTTGCAAAACCATAGCGTTCTTCACTTGGATGTGCGGGGAAATCAGAGTAGAACCGCGTCTGGATCTCCTTCATAGCTTCCATACAAAGCTCAAGCGGATTAATGGCCTACATAAACCTACTCTAGAATTCAGTTGGAAGAAGAGAAATAACGAACCTTGTGTGGAAGGCCGCTATGGAAAAGCTTTCCATAAGCCGTGAGCTTCCAAGAGATCATGCCGCCAGTCCCTATACACGGCTGCTTGTCTGCTGTATCTATCCAAAACCTGCAGATCAAAACCAAAACCAGAGTAAGAAGAAGAAGAAAAAAAAAAAAAAACAGCGACACTTACAGTGGACCGTTCTTTAAGCTGTCCAAAAGCCCGTCTTTCACTAAACCATCGACTCCAATATCAACCACGGATGAATTCTCTTCGTTCGCAATGAAAACTGCCACCACGGTCGATTTAAGCTTGGGTTTCTTCTCCGCGAGCTGCCTCATGAGATCAGTGACAAGCGCTACATGTCCCAGGCAATCAGTAGTTCCTCGTCCTCTCAGCTTGTCACCATCGATACTCAGACTAAAAGGATCAAATTCCTGCGAAGGAAACAACAAAGAACAAAGGCACCTCATCAGAGCAATGGAAGAACTCCAGCCTCTTAGAAAGTCTCGAAGATCGGATCCGAGAATGCGAAGAAGAAATCCAAATTTTCAAGCTCACCCAGTCGTCCGGATTCGCAGTGACAACGTCCATATGGCAGCCAACGAAGGAGACGATCTTCCCAACTTCCGTGCCTGGATACTCCACAATCACATTCCCCCTCCCTTCCGTGTAGATGACATGCTTCACCACAAGCGGGCCGCCATACTCGGTGCTGAGCGGCATCAAAACCTCAAGAACATGCCGCGCCGCCAGATCCTCCCGCGGGATCAGCTCCGGCGGATTGTTCTGGAGATGCTTCGCCTCGCCGATGAGCTTCCGGAGCAGTGCGATGAAAGCATCATCGTCCAGCTGCAGCGCTTTCACGCCCTCCACGCCCATGCCCATTGCCCCCAAATTTTTGGGCAAAAGAGTCAAGAACCCTAAAAACAGAGTAAGCTCAAGAGCCCTAAAATCAGCCTTAAAATATCCTTGATTCATATGTAGCTAATGTACTTGAAGTAGATCCCAATGTAACCCGCGAGCGACACCACAGAGAAGATGTGCTGCCAGAACAACACTGACGATGCTTCCTTTTCGCCATATCCCCTCACGCTCGTCAATCCGGCCATCAAGATCGAGCTGGGCATGGCGTGCTGGAGCAGCAGCACGAAATGGAACATCTTATCGCCCTGGGGGAGAAATCCTCCGCGATTGGCAGCCACCACCACTCCAATCCCAATCGCGGGCAGCACGACGAGCCGGGCGACGCAAATCCCGACTGTGGTGCGCAGCCCCAGCTCCGATTTTGCCGGACCTCCGGAGAACATCCCCCCGAGAACCAAGAGCACGCAAGGAACCATCGCATTGCCCAGGATCGTGAGCGCATCCGTGAAGAACTCGAGCGGCGCACCCTCGCCAAACGCCACCGATTGCAAGTAGTGCACGGATCCCACCAGGATCGCCAGCAGCGACGCCACCGTCGGCGGCTGGAGCATGTGTTGCAGCGGCGTCCTCTCCGCCAAGATCCTCATCTTCCTCACCACCCTCGGCTCGCGCAAGCACCGCACTCTCTCGTGATCTTCCACCACCGGATCCCTCCTCTCGTTGAAAGACGCGCGCCGGAAGATCCGATCCAGGAATGGCGTCCTCGTCTCCTCGGTCCCGGCGTCCTTGACGCCCGGCCACTCGGCCTCCACGAAATCGGGCATCTGGGCCGCCTGGATCTCCTGTTCTTCCTCTTCCTGGACACCACCCTCTTGATCGATGATCTCCTCGCCGCGACCCAGCTCATCGATGTAGCAGTAGTAATCCCGCGGCGGCTCCAGCATATGATAGACGAAGACGTAGAGCACGATCACCGCGACCCACTGCGCGAAGGAGACGTAGGCCACCCCGGATTGCTTGCACTGCTTGCCGAATGGATTCCAGCCATGGCACACGGAGCCGACGATCGAGAGGGGGAGATTGCCGGTGTTGCCGATCCCTGTCATGGCGACCGTGAATCGGAAGAGCCGGGGCGGCGGGCGGCAGAGGATCGCGACGAGGTAGCCGACGACGCAGCCGATCAAGTAGCTGGCGAGGACATTGACGGGGATGAACCACCAGTCGCGCATGTTCTTGGGAGTGACCGATTTGCCCAGCTCCGTGAAGATGAGGCAGGGGAGGAAGAGCGCGAAGACGAGCTTGCTGAGGAGCTTGCAGGAATCCGGGCCGAGGACGCCGATTCGTGGATGCGTGAGGAGGAGGCCGACCATGCACATACACAGGATCTTGAGGAGGGGCACCACGGGGCCGAGAATGTTGGGCTGGGTGCCGCCGCTGGCGAGCGCCGCAGCGAGATTATCCATCGAGGCTGCCGCGAGATTATCCATAGCAGCCCTAGATTCCAAGACCTGGCCGGAGAGAGGACGCGATGCGATGCCTCGCTAGGATGCGATCGGACAGCGAACTCGATCTAGCCCTAATGGATATTCCATTGATTTTAGGGCTCTTTTATCCCAAGAACCCTAAGAAAATATCCATCTAGAGAATATACTCAAAGGACTATGTTTTATTCAAAAAATCTTACAAGCTATCATAGAGTTTGTATGAAAGTGAGAAGAGACCCTGGTACTTATTTCTATCCACATGACGAGGGATCGGACGGCTCCGGTGAGGATGGCCTCTGGATGGACGGCTGTGATGCGCTAGCTCGAGCTCGCTAGCTCAGTAAGTCCACTCCGTTGGGAGAGCGTGCTCCGCAGTGGAGTGCCACCGCGTTGGAGAGCACGCCGAGTAGGATTTGGAGAGATGGACGCTCAGATAATCATCGCTGCTCGAGTGATCTGCGACGTTCCAGCACCAAAATCTATGTCAATCCAAGAACTTGGGAAGAACTCTACGAGAACTTACCAGTAGTACCAAGCGATGGATGCGGTTGGCACTCCAGATCATCGACGTTGAGGTTGAGAACTTCGACTATCCGGGAAGGGAGTAGCACCGTGGAGCAAGCTGGATGGATGGATCAAACGAAGAGCAATTTAAAACGGTGAGAACTTCTTGACCATCAAGAGATGATCACTTCACTTACGTGGCTTTCGTTTTTGTGGATCGCGATTGCTGCTGGCAGTGGGAGCGGTGGCTTGCGGGAGAAACACTCCCGTCCCGTTGGAGGTGCTGCTTCCGAATCCGGGGCCTCTCAAGAACACGGCTCGCATTCCAGTGCCGCCATTAGCGGTGGTGGCGGTGGTGTGAGACTTTACGCTGGATGCCGCTGGCCATTGTGACGAGAAGAGCGATGATCCAGCCGAGTGGTGGATGTTTGATGATCGAGTGGAAGAAGTTTGATGCAAGTTCCGGCTGCTCGCGATATGTCGAGCTTGCTGCTGCTGCTGCTGGAGAGATCGAGGTGATCGAGCTCGCCTGTTCCAGGCGACTGGAACGATCCCAGCTGCTGGATTCAAAGCATTCTGCGCAAGGAATCATTGCAAAAACTTGAGTTCCAAACGAACGAAGAACCACGAGAAAGAACAAGCATTAAAAATCTAAACTTTCAAACACCAAGAAAATCTAAAGCAACACTGACAAAAGTAGCACCAACGCATCAAATCCCATTTAATCATCGCCCTCGAAAGCACAGAGATCAAATCTAAATCTAAGGAACGCGCACTGAGAAACCAAGAACGAACTTAACAAAAACACCACTAAACTTGACAAAGAAAAGTGAAAGCGAGGAGATCGATGTACAAGCAAACACGCATGAATCCACAAATCCACAGGGTCACGCGCTCTGGGCGACCAACAAAGATAACGATCCATCAAACAAATCAAAATGTCTGTACGATTCTCAACACACCAGAGAAACTGGCAGAGCACGCCCAAGAACACGGAAAAAAAAACAGAAAAAAAAAAAAACGAACTTTGCGAAGAAAGAGCTCGATCATACCTGGTAATGGCGCTGAGTACTTCGCTGCTGCTGCTGCTGCTTCCAGTCAAGTTGCTGCTGCCCAAACGCACAACCAACAGGCTTGCTTCCACAGCACTCGACGATGCCACTGTTCTTGGCGGTGCCGATCGAGTGGTACATTGACGCGGCTCGGTTGTAAGCTCGGATCTCGTCGCGAGAAAACAAGGAACTCGACGAAGATGGGGGCGAGGAGCAAGAGCCGGCAGAGGAAGAAGAAGAACAAGAAGAGAAAGAACACGAAGAAGAACAAGGAACCTCTCCGCCGCCGCCGCCGCCGCCCATCTTGAGACGCATCACTTCCTGCGCCGCCAGATGGAGCAGCTCCCACGCATCGCTGCCGCGCGGCGGCGGCAGCTCGGATTCGTGACCGAAGTGGTGGAGCGGCGTCGGCGGCGATACCGCGGGGCTGGGGCTGGATTTCGTGGAGCTCCACCCGCTTCTCCGCTACAAAGAAAAAAAAAAAAACCACCAAAGAATCGATGAGAATCTCTCGCTACGGAGAAGAACAGCAAGAAACAAGCAAGGAAGAGACAAACAAGAAGAACCCAACACCAAATCTAAGCTACATTCCTTCCTTTTCTCTCTCTCTCGCTCGCTCGCTCGCGGTTCAAGCTCTTAGCACACCTGAGTTTCGTGGAGCGGCGGCCACAGCGGTGTTGCGGCGGCAGTAGTGGCGGGGTACCCTTCGTCCCCGCCGCACTCTTCCTCGTCCAGCATCGAGTGCGCCATTTGCTCCACCAGCCCGGCCACGAAATCGTCGTCCTGGTCGCGATCGCTGGGATCGGGGAGTGATTCCAGCTGCTGCTGGGCGCTCTTGGGCATCGAATCCGCGGCTCCAAAGCTCGAGGAGGAGGAGTAGTAAGACATTGCCAGCAACGTATGGTAGATTTAGAACAAGGGGTGGGAGAAGAAGACTAGAGAGCCCAGATCCATAGCCGAGAGCTCGCTCGCAAGCTAAATGCCTATCAAGGCATTTGGCGAGAGAGCTGCTCTCTCTTTCCTTTATTTTAATTTGCTTTCTTCTCTTTTTTTTTTTTTCTCTTTTTCTCTCTCTTTTGGGAGCGCGCTCTTTCTTTGCTAGTTTTCTTGGCCCTCCTTTAAAAACCCTGGAGCCGGCAAATGCTTTTACATGGTACCATGCACTGCAATGCCGCCCAGACGCTGCATTGTCTCGCAACAAAAGAGCCCCTTTTTGACAATGGAATGCGAGAAAAGAGAAGCGGAAAAAGGGACAAGCCCCCCCCTGGGAATCGGTTCATCGGTCATGCATCCAAAGAGGGCTTCTTTGGCAGACAAGACAGAGTGCGTCTCAAAGATCTCTGTGTGGGCGCTTTAAAAAGTGGGAATTCGGTTCGTGGGTCGGTTTCTCCCGGCGATGCCAACCAACCCAAGTGATCCGATCCGATCGGATCGGCCCCTATTGACCGGTTTCCGGATTAAAACTCCAAACACGATGAACAACTCGACATGAAAACTTAGCTATGAGTGATCCACGGCACGGGGGATGGAGATAAGATCAAAGCAAAACGGAGAGACATCGACAGGGATGGTCGTTCGTTGTTTGCCGCAGCAGTGGATGAAAGCTCTGGCTCGCACACACGAAATGGGATTTGAATGGTTGAGTGATGAGTGAGGGAGCTATCCTGTCCATAATCTAATCCGTACTTACTGGTCGACTGGAGTGAGTGATTGCTTGAAAGTCTAAGTACGGACGTAAGAGCGCACGGGATGGATGTGTTTGCTTTGTTTAATCTACTTGTCCTGGCGACTTTTTCCTACAGTCGAGAGAAAAACGGCTTGAAACAAATGCCCGCAAAGGGCATTTGCTGCACTGAGCAAAGACTTGGGTCTTTTATCAGAATTTTGGGGTGATTGGAAACTGGAATCATCGGAGATTTTTATTCTCTTCAATGTCGTCACATTCTTTGGATTTGAGAGATCGCGGCTTTTTTGCATGGGAGTTTGTCAAAGGTGGTGGACTTTAGGGCCTGGGGATTTTGGCTCGTTGGTGTTTGAAATGGGACTTTTAAAGCGCGCGCCACCACGTCCTCATTTCTTCATGTGTCCCACGGGATGCCATCATTGCTTTGTTGGATAGAGAGCCTCCCTCCAAAGGACTCGAACCGGGGACCGTTACTTCTCCAAGAAAATGGGTCTGACGTGGACGAGCCAGAGCTTTTCTGGGGTTTTGGAGCCAAGCCCTAACCCTAGCTCACTGATGGTGGCTTTAGGGTGAGTGATGGAGGACGCCGACGCGGGAGTGGCAACGGCTGGAGCGCCAGAAGGTTGTTTGCCTCCTCGCAAGCGTCTGCTCAACCGCGGCGCCAGTGATCCGAGCAAAGGTATGGCGGAAGGGGGAATCGCGGCCGTGGCGGTCGACCAGGGCGGCGCTGGAGCTGTGGGAGCTCTTCCAGGCCCGGCGGCAGTGGCAGGAGCAGCGCCTGGCCTGGGATCGGGTGCGCCGGGGGGAAAATCCGACGAGAGCTGCTCGTGGTGTGGGAGCAAAGAGAACAGCGCTTGGCGGCGCGTGAAGAAGAGTGGGGTTTACCAGCGGCTGTGCAACACTTGCACCATGCTCTACAGCATGAATATGTTCTGCCCCTACTGCCTCGTCACTTACCAGGACGCGGGGACTCTGGGTGATCCTAAGATCTGGCTCAACTGTGGACAGTGCAAGCGATCGGTTCACGTAGAATGCGAGACGAAGAACTCTCCCGGCGCGGCTCTCGACCCAAATGCGTATACTTGTCCCGAGTGTAGGAACAAGAACGAGGAGAGTACCAGCCCGGCAAGCCCATCGCACAAAAAGGCCCGGACTGTCAAGAGCGAGGGTGATGATCCTAGTGCTGCTGCCAATCCTAGCGCTACTACTGCTGCTACTACTCCGACTACTGAGGCTCCCATGGAAGAGGATAGCAAGCAGGTACTTCCTCCAAAGCCAAGTGTTAATCAAGCCCAGGAAGCGTTGCAAGCGGCGAAGAACGCTGCCCAGGCTGCTGCTAGAGCTGCCGCTAACGCAAAGGCGACGGCTCTTGCGAAAGCCCAAGCTGCGGCCAAGGCTGCTCTTGCCGCCAAGGCTGCGCTTGACATCGCGGCACAGGCTGCTAGAGCAGAGATACATGCCAGGTCTGAGCTACGGCGGAATGGTGTTCGTCTGGAGCCTAGAGTCGGCGGCTTGATTGGAGCGAAGCTGGATCCCTCGGAGAAAGGGAAGGAAGAGAGCCAGGGCGACGAGATGCATATCACTTCGCCAAGGTCTGCTCGTGGAGTCCGGCGAAAGCAGGAAGGAATGTCGCCAGGAGCTTCTCCATCTGGAGTGGAGCCGAAGGAGGAGCCTGGTGAGTCGATGCTTCAAAAGCAGCAGCCCCGGATCAAGGAAGAAGACCAAGCCAACCACGCTCTCTACCAGACTGTCGACACCCACGGCTTCCCATCGACGTACTTATCGGATCCCAACGCCGCGTTTCCGTTCGCGGACATCCTCTCCGGCTTTCCTTCTCAATCCGAGGAGCACGGCGGGGTCACGGCCATGGATACCGACGACGGTGGTCCTCACGAGGTTGTCAACTTAGGCCAAGGCGGTGTCCAACAGCAGGTCGATATGGCTGCCGCAGTGAAGAAGGCCGCGGACGAAGGGAACGCATTGACAAAGGCACAGGCATCTGCCGATCAGGAAGCTAACAAGACGGACACTGACATATCGTTTTACGGAGTTCCATCCGACGCGAAGTTCGAGATTGGCAAGTGGAATGAAGACGTGAAGCCAGAGGAAGCTCCTGTAGTCGATGACAAGCAGCAGCAGATAGGCATTGAGGATTACGCAAATGAGGGCCTTCCAGAGGTTGCAGCGCAGGAAAACAATCCAAGCGATGGAGCCAAGGCTGAAGAAGTGGTGGAGGCCGCTCCAAGGGATCAGGAAGAGGTAGTCAACGAAGTAGTGGTGCAGCCCGGGTCCGAGGATGCTGGAGATGCGTCAACGAACAAAGGTACGCGACTGTTACTTCTCTTTTCTCCGGCCTTGGTTGTCTCTCAGCTATGTTTTCATTCCTTTTGTGTATTCACTTTTATAGGTGTGGAGCCTGAGAGTACGAATGCCGGTGATCTGAAAGGAACGCAGACCGCGTCGCTGGAGTTGTCCGACGTCGCTAAGAATCCGGCAGCTCCTCCTGTAGCTTCCGAAAATGATGCAGTCGAGGCGCAGTGAGAATCAAATCTGGGAGAAATCAGGTGTGTCTGGTGCTTTGTCTATATTAGCAAAAAAAGTACTGACGAGCGACCATGAAAATTTCTTTGTTTTTTGTTGTGCAGTCCATTGTACCTTGTCCATACTGGCATATTATATTTTGTCTAAAGAACCACCATTCAGTAAGTTGTTACTACATAGCTACGCTACTCGCAGGCTTTTTCATTTTCGAAATCGCTGCCTTGGTTTTTAATATGTTATTCGCAGATGCAGATGAACTTTGAGAACTTTGAAAGAAAGAAAAAAGTTACCTACTACAGTTTCCTAGTTGCTACCAGCGACGAGCATCCTTGGAGTCGGCGTCCGACTGCCAGGCCTCGATCGAGTTAGACCATGACGGTGTTGTGAGTGAGCTCGTGTAAGATTTACTGATGATCGCCATGGCAGCGGCGCTGGGAACGTAGCCGAGGCCAGAGACCGAGGCCAAGTTTTCGTCCGACCATCGGTTGATCCACGACCCTTCCTTGCGGATGGATTGCCGTTTGGTGTAGAGCGGTCGGGTTAGAACAGACTCCGGATGGACAAAGTTCTCCTGGTTTGATCCAGATTGCTGCAAGCAAACCAGGCAAAATGAGATTTTTCTCCTCGAAGTTTTGCCTACCTGATGAAGCTCATGCTGGGATTGTTCTTGGTGACGATCTGTGCAAGGAATCGAAGCTAAAAATCCGATTTTTTGGAATCGAGCTTACTTGTGGATGATTCGGTGAGCAGGGATGCTAATCCTTTTGCTGGATCCAATCCTTGTTTGTCGCGAGGATTGGATCCTTGATAGCTGCTGTATGGCAGTGGAGCATTGGCTTTGAGAAAGCCGCAAAGGGAATCTTGCGGTTCTTGGCTGTCCGTGGCGGCGACGAACCCTCGAATGATACGCCGTGGAGCCTCGCGCGCCGACGAATTGGGAGCGAGGAGGAAGGAGCTCCTGTCGAGGCTGCGAGAGAGGCTGCTGGAATTGGAACGGGATTTCTTGGCGGGATCCTGCGAGAAAGAAGGGGAAGAAATGGAATGCCGGTGGAGCAGCCAATCCTCCAGCGGCTCGTGGCATTCTTCGTGCTGGGGCCGCTTGATCGAGAATTCGGGCAGTAGAACCGAGGAGCAGGAGCGCGATCGACGCATTCGCCCGCTCCTCGTGGTTCCCTGATCAGACTCACCTTCGATCACTGGCTTGAATCGCAGGATCCAGGCGGAGAGAGGAGGAGGACGAGCGCGGGCATCGCCATCGCTATCGTCCTCATCCTCGTTAGGATTTTCTTGTTGTTCTCGATGTGGAAAGAAAGCGGTCATTTCCACTTCATCATCCACCCATACCCTGCCGTACAAGGAAGTGTATCAGGGAAATATGCATTTTGTACGGATATGACAAGGAATATGCTTTTGCACAATTATCAGAGAATATGCTTTGTTGTACGGGCGTGACAACGAATATGCTTCCCGGGCCATGGAAACCCTAAAATCTGGGCGATGGAGGCCTCGCCCACGGCCACGACGTCGTCCAAGCAGGCCAAGATCGCGCTGTGAGTATCCTCGATCCCAGCTACGCGCTGATCTCCCGCTTTGAAATCTCGCAGAGATGCCTCGTCCGAGGCCTCCAATGCGGCCAAGTACCGGGAATACGAGAGGGATTATGTGCGCTGGATCCATCACAAGTACTTCTCCTCCCAGGTTCTCGGGGCGAACGGTAACGCGAGAGAAGAGGCGAGTGAATTCGATTGATGCTTCCTTGCGCAGATCCGGTGTACGAGAGCACGATGCCGATCGAGGGATTTGTGATAAGAGCTACCAAGTGAGCTGGGATTTCTAGTTTTCGTGGTGGATTTCTTCCTTGTTCTTTGGTTTTCCAGGAGTCCTCCGTTAAAATCTTTCGCGGAATCGAAAGCTTCGCTCGAGAGTAGCGCCACTGGAGCTGGAGGAGGAGGGGGAGGAGGAGGAGAATCGCCCGCCCAAGCCAGCGCTAGGAAGAAGCAAACAAGAAGATAGGATTAATCCACGAAGAACCCTAAAGGCAAGGGCTTAAAGGTTGTAAATTTCTAGGGCTTAGTTAGGGTTTATCATTTACATCTAAAGGGAGGTATATTCCTCTTTTCGCGTTATCCACCACAAGAGATCTCTGGGAGTGGGGGAAACGGGATGTGCGCGACGGCAGCGACGCTAGGATTTCTAGATCTCGCAGCGTCATCGCAATGCTCGGCATTGCCATCACGAGGGATTTCCAGGCTCCAGGCTTGCAGATTGTCCAGGTTGAGGTCTTCGTCGGCGTCCTTGGCAGCGGCATTCTCTTCTCTCCAGCCATGGCGATTGAGAGGAAGGGCGAGAGTGATGGCGGTGGTGGCCGTGGCGGAGGTCTCAGTGGAGGATGAGGAGGAGGAGACGGAGGAGGCAGTGGCATCCACGCCCGCGGTCAAGCCCAAGAAGGGGAAGGCTGCGCTGCCCAACAAGAGCGATAGAGTGAGCTGATTCTTTACTTTGGTTTGTGGAATGGATTTTTCTTGCGGTGGAGGATTGACACAGTGGTTTTCTTTGCGTCCTTTCTTTGCAGAGAAGATCGAAGAGATTTCTAGAGCTGCAGAAACTGCGTGTCAAGAGGCAGGAGTATGATCCACAGACCGCTCTGCGATTGATGAAGGAGACCGCGTCGACCAAATTCGTTGAAACCGCTGAAGTTCACTGCCGACTTAACATCGATCCCAAGTACAATGACCAGCAGCTCCGTGCTACTGTGAGTGGAAGTTCTCTATCTAAATTCCATCCTTTTTGGATCTTCCAAGAGGTTTCTTTCAAGTGCTTCGTTTCCAGGTGACTCTGCCAAAGGGAACTGGGAAAGAGGTCCGAATAGCTGTTCTTACGCAAGGTAATGGTTTTGTTTTAAACGAACTTGCGCACTTGACGTGTGGTTTTCTCTGGCACTGGAAGGAGAGAAGCAAGGGGAAGCCAAGACCGCTGGAGCTGACGTTGTAGGAGGAGAGGAATTGATCGAGCAAATCGCTGGTGGCTTCATGGAGTTCGACAAGCTGCTGGCTACTCCAGATATGATGCCAAAGGTGATATTTTGATGGATCATGTGTCTCAGCATGAAATGTTTGCGTTCTCCAGGTTGCAAAGCTTGGTAGACTGCTGGGGCCTCGAGGACTGATGCCAAATCCCAAGGCAGGGACTGTGACGACGGACCTTCCAACTGTACGCACTTCCTCGCGTTCGTTTCTTTCTCTTCCTGAAATGCGTTCGTTCTCAGGCAATTGGAGAGTTTAAAGGCGGGAAAGTAGAGTACAAAGTTGACAAAACAGGAATCGTTCACATTCCATTCGGGAAGACGAACTTTGAGGACGAGGATCTCCTCTTGAATCTTCTAGCTGTGATTGTAAGTATAAAGATCCTGGCTCTGGAACTTTATGTTTCCTTGTGTTTCTCCAGAACTCTGTGGAGACAAACAAGCCCAAAGGAGCTAAAGGTGTCTACTGGAAATCCATTTACATCTGTTCCACCATGGGACCTTCGATACGAGTGAATGTTAGTCAGGTGCGGGATTTCAAAGTACCTGTGCTGAAGTCACCATGAAAGACTTTTAGAAGTTAGCATTTTCTTGTTTATCAAATTTGTCTGAAAGGCCACATACAATATGCAGAGCCCACTGAACTTATACCAAGAAGTATGTCACTTCCTTTTGCAATGAATATTCTTTCCATCTTTCCACAATGTTATGTTTTAAATCCAATGGAAAATAAATTATTAATTTTTTTTAATATTTAGAAAACACATTTGACGACTTTCCACATTTTAGTTTCTTCCATAATAATAATCTTATGGTTTATTAATATATTGGTATTATCAAATTATAAAAAATTCTACATTAAACATCATATGAAAAGGATTTCAAACATGTAACTAATAATAAACTATTAAAATATACTGTATATAAATGTAATATACCATCATTTTATTGAATGATAATCATATAATTTCATGCACATTATTAATTTTTAAAAGATGCAAACAGTTTACTCATATATAATGCATAAAAAAAATTTAAGAAAAAATAATTCTAAAACTACAAATTTTGTGATAAAATAATAAATCTAATAAATTTACATTAATTTCTTTATCATATATAGTTTAGAAAATTATAAGTCAGTAACTATAACCATGAAACTAAATGATATCATCTAAAACACTTAATATAATTAAAATTATATCTTTATTATTAACATAAATATATGTGTAATTTATTTAGGTTTAGCATTCTTGACCTAGCTTTTAATTCTCTTTTGCTAGATCACAAATTGGGACATAAGAACAGCACTATAGGTTCAAGACACTCTCTACACTCTATAGATATGCCTCTTGAGTGGAAAGAAATATTAGATTTGGTAATGTTAAAGATACCAAACCTTCAAATGATGTTTAATATGGATGTTTTCAACAAATATATTAAAGGTATTTATAGTGTTGGACAAAGTTACATCATATTAAAGTCAGATGTGTCCTTCCAGTTGCAAAAATGCTCCTCAAGGGATTAGGATGCTAATTTTTTTATTGTGAGAGCTAATTAAAAAGCAGCTAAGAAGGGGTGTTGAACCTTCTAGGTATAAGTGATGGAAGCTAGGGGTGATAGTGACCCAATTAGAATCAGTGATAGGGTTGATCTTGTGCCAATGGAAATATTGAAGTTGTTAGTAAGGAATTATCTTTCTAAAGGATAACCACCCTAGCTGTAAGGTTGATCATTGAATTGAAATTGTTCTAGGTTCTAAACCACCTATAAAGGTTTTATACCATTTGAACATCAAAGAAATGGTTAAACTCAAGAAGTAACAGTCATATCTCACTAAGCAAGTCACCTTATGGAGTGTTGGTCCTTTTTATTATGAAAAAAGATAATACCATGAGGATGTATATTGATTATCGAGCTCTTAACAAGATCATGGATAGAAACAATTATCTTTTGTCTTGCATTGATGACTTTTTTGATCAACTTTGAAAGGCTAAATATTTCATACGACTTGATTTGCAATCTAAGTATCATCAAATATAGGTGGTAAATCAGGATGTGGAGAAGATAACCTTTAAGACTTGTTATAGTTCTTATGAGTTCTTAGTTATGCTGTTTGGGTTATGTAATGCTCTGGAAACTTTCAATACAATGATGGATAGAATATTTAGATATTATTTAGACATATTTATTATTCTATATATTAATGATATTCTAGTCCTTAGTGAAATGTTGGAGGATCATTTGAAACACTTGGAGCTGGTGTTTCAAAAAATTGCAAGAAAACAAACTATATGCTAAAGCAATTTTATTTACAATTTTGTTCACAATTTTGCAAGTATTGCTCTTCCATTAATTGAGTTAATGAGGGGTAGTTTACCGTGTTATTGGATACTAACTTGTCAATATACTTTTGTATAGTTGAAAGAGATCTTGATTATAGTTCTTGTTCTTAGGATCATCTTGATAAATCCTTTAAAGTGCATTGTGATGTATCTAATTATGCTATAGGTGCTATGTTGCACCAAGATTGTGATAATATGATTAGAGCTACACTAAGGTGATATAATTGTCCCATTGCATTTTACTCCAAGAAATTGGATGAAACCCAATAAAGATGGCTAACACATGAGAAAGAAATATTTGTTATAGCGTTGGCATTGGAACATTAGAGATAGTATTTGAGTAGATATACCAAGGTTTATATAGATAGTAACACACTAGGCTGCTTTGCAACATAGCCAAAGCTCACACTAAAGTAGGCTTGTTGGCAAAAAAAGCTCGATAGATTTTATATTGAAATCATTTATAAACTTGGTAAAGAAAATATTATTTTGGATGCATTGAGTCGTCAAGCTCAATTTTAGACAATGTTGGTAATTAGTTCAAACTAGTTAGACGATGTTTGAGTTTCATATTAAAGTGATCCATTAGCAAAGGTGATATTGCATTATGACTTTTATAGTAGTGATATAAGCATTGCTTATGGTGTTGCTTGATTAATAATTAAATCATTGTGATACTTATATCATATCCTAATGATCATGAATAATGTATTTACAAAGTTGCTTGATTAACAATGATCAACCCCAAAGTGGTTAATAGTGAAGTTAATCTACTTGCGGTGGTCCATTATGCTAAGCTTGAGTTGGTCCTTGAGAATTTACCTATTATATATTGAAAAATGTTATAGCGTTTATTTGTTATAGCTTATTGGTAAAATCTATTAGCACTTGGAGTATATTGTTGGATGGAGAAGGTGTGTAGTTGAAGCATTGACATTATTAGTACTTGTGTTAGTGGAAGTGATATTTTTATTTCAAGTGATAAGGAGTTTTTCCTTAAAACTTGATTTTCATGTTATTTTTTGTTAGTATTTTGTCTTCACATTGGATTTTGAAGGTGATTGAAGAAGAGTGTTTTTGCAATATAGATATAAAAAAATATGATCTTTGTGATCAAGTTTTAGATATTCATTAGCATTTACAAATGACAGTGTCAGATGTAAGATATATGGGATGTTCGAAGCTTAAGCATGTTGTTGGGTCATGAGAACTTATATTAAAGTGAACTTGTGTGAAGTTGTAAGTAGGAGGAAGTTGGTTAAGTCTTAAGAATTTGTATTTCTAGACTAAGAGTCATTCTTTCTTTTGGATAGAAATTTTCCACAAATTTTTTTAGACTTTTCCAATGGCTGATTTGTTGATCATTTTGATCGAAAACCATAAAGCTATTAGAAATTAGTGAAAAGGTTGGAGTTAACTTCAATTAGCTTAAACCTTAGTATGTAATTTATATGATGTGGCTTGAAAAGGATGTTAATTTTTGAGACTAAGGCAATTAAGTTGGATAAAGTCTAGAGCTGGTGTAAGAAAAGAAAAATGGTTATTATGCTTTATTTTGTTAAAGTGGGACTTATTCAGTAAAGTGGGACATTAATTAGCATGTGTCCACATGCCATTTTCTAGTACTTAATTAATATTTATTAATATTTCTATCAGTTTTTTAATTTATTTTTTAATATTTCACAATATTATAACACAAAATCATATGAAAAGTTTTTAATTTATAAATTATAAAGTTAAAACTTCAATTTTTTATTGTTGTTATAAAAATGGCATGTGGCCACACACCATAAGTGGGATAATGAAAAGTCCCACTTTAACGAAATAAAACATTATTGCACTTTTCTAGAAAGGTGACTCTTGTGCTTTTTTGCTGTATCCATATGCTTGGTGGCAAGTTGCACCTTATATTTTGTTAGATTTTATAAAAGTAGTGAGCTCTCATTAATCTTGACTTAATCGTGATAAAAGGATGGTGATATCCAACTTAATTGTTGGAGGTTGAAGTGTTAGTACTTGTACTATAACTTTATCTATTAGAAGGTTGTATACCAATATGAGTCCATCTCATAATCTTCATTTTAGTTTCAGTTGAGTGTAAATTATGCATAGCTAACCTCTTCAATGCATGCTTAAAGTTGTTGGCTAGACATATTAATAAGTTTATTACGGTTTAAGTTATTCAAGTGGTTATTTAGTTTGTGGTTATCCTTGTACTTGTGTTACCTTTTTATTGGGCAAATATATAACTTAATAACATTAGTTTAGTGTTTGGGCTTTATAAAGGCAAATTGAAGAGTGATTATTAGTTGCTTTACAACTAGTGATTACTTGTAAACTTTGTCAAGGACTTTTGATACTTTCTTTGGATTTATTAGTGATTTGCTTGTTTACCGGATGGTGTTGTAGAGGATCATATTGTGGGTTTGCATAATTTTTCTATGTTGGCATGTCGATTCTATCTTAGTTAATATTATTTGGTTGTGTTTAATCTATAGTGTTAGATTACATCATTAGCAATAATTAGTGATGATTAACTATCATTTAGAATAGTTGATTGTTTTGCTTGATTATTGTTGATATAAAATGATTTGTCATTTTTCAGGATGGTGGATTCTTTCTTTAATAATAATTATACATCTCTACGGTTAATTATTCTTTTTGATGGCTTATAACTTTTTGCAGTACCACATATTATTTATGGTTTGTTTTAGTTTGGTTTTCTGGGTTTGAAACATCAATAGGATATTACTAATGTTTACTTAAGAAACTTGAGTTTCTTAGTATAGTTGACTGAGATGTATTCAAATTAGCTGGTGTGATGGTTAGCATGAATAAGTGTTTGTTTGCTTTGCAACATTCATTCCATTTTATTGATTTTTGTTTGAGTTAATTTTGATAATTCTTTTAGTTGTCTTTTATATAAGTTGTTTGGTATGTTGTCTGTAAACTTTGATAGTTAAATGTTATCATTGAGTTTTCTTGATGGTACACTTATTATTGAATTTTGTTAGATAGTGAATCCTATGTTTTCCAATTATGATGATCTTGGTGGTTCCTAAACTTTAATACTGGTATATCAGATGATAACTTACTTGGAATACTTTTATATTTTAATATAATATTTATTTACTAATAATTAAGTCTTTAAGATATCTTTGTCTTTGACTTTAATATTGTCCATCTCTTGATCTTTGGGTTGGGCTAGTATAGATAGACTAGTTTCAACATTTCATGTGTATAATGAAATCTCTAGTCATACTATTGACTAATCACATCAACCACCTCTCTCTCGATATTCCTTATTTTGTTAACCAGGGTGTGCCTATGTAAACAACTTTAATTGCCTATTT